AAAATTGTGTGGTGTTGAGGTGAAATTTGGGGGTTTGAGGCTAGGGATTTGGAAATTGAATTTTGGGGATTTGAATGAACATTTGATGTCGTCTTTTGATAAATTTGGTATGGTTAGACTCGTGAGTGAATGGGCTTCGGGTTTTGTAACTTTTGTCGGATTTCGAAACATGGGCCCGGGGGATGGGTTTGAGCCAATTTCGCATTTTTAGCTATGATTTAGTACTTTTCTTGTGGAATTGATCCCTTTAGCCTATATTGATTGTATTGTACTACTTGTGGCTAGATTCGGGACGTTTGGAGACCGATTTGAGAGGCGAAGTAGAGATTTTCTCGGTTTGAGGTAAGTAACGCTTTCAAACTTGGTTTTGAGGGTTCGAAACCCCGAATTATGTGTTAAGTGATTGGTATTGAGGTGGCGCACATGCCAAGTGACGGGCGTGGAGGCGTGCACCGTGAGAATTGTGCCTGATTGATTTCATGGCACTGTATAGTGACTTTATCTTGTTGATATCCGTGTTTTCATTAGTGATAAAGTAATTGAGTTGTCAATCATACTAGGTATCATGTTTAGGCTTTATGCTGGTACTGTTGGGACTCCTAGTGGTCGTTTTTTATTGTCATCTCACTGGTTTTATTGATATTATGTACTCGGTCATGTTCATGCATTTCATATCATATCTCAGTCTCAGTTGTTATTTATTGATACGTCATATCATTGTTTCGGGCCAGTTTTCATGGTATTGTGAGCCCGTGAGTGAGATCGGAGAGATTCATGACTGAGTGAGGTTGAGAGCCTGATTATGAGTGACAGTTATGGGATCGGGATGCACGTCGCAACGGTTATACTGATTTTATGATAGCGCTTGGGCTGTAGGAGCCTCTCCGGAGTCTGTACACACCCCGAGTGAGCGCGGTTAATATTATTGAGGGATGGATCTTCCCTGGACATGGATCTTGTTCGAAGTACTTGATACCTGGAGATGGATCTTCTCCAAATGGCTGGATTGGCCTTCCTCGGTACTGGGTGACTTATAGTCAGTCATGTATGTGTTCCGAGATGGGTCTTCCCTGAGCAGTATGGGCCATATACAGTACCGAGTGGTTAAGCATTCGAGAGTGTGAGCACATGAGGCTGACAGCATGGTGCATCACATACAGCATGTGCATTGGCATATAGAGATAGCAGAGTTATATTCTTTACACTGTTTGGATCTGTTGTACTTTACTGTTTTGAGTTGCCTATTTACTTTGAAAGCATGCATACATTTCTGCACAGTTATTTCTATTTTATCTATACCGGTTAAGTTCGTCACTACCTATCAGTCCAAAGGTTGGACTTGTTACTTACTCAGTTGGATGTACTCACGTTACTCCCTGCACCTCGTGTGTAGATCCAGGCATTTCTGGTCACGGCGGCGGTTGTTGATTGAGGCTTTAGAGTTCGGAGACTACCAAGGTATATGCACGACGTTCGCAGGCCTTGGCTCTCCTTCTTTATCGCTAGTTGTATTTTCAGTTTATTTCTCTAGACACTGTAGTCGACTGTATTCTAATTTAGACCCCCATGTACTCTGTGACACCCCATTTTTGGGATGGATTGTATCGTATTTTGGATATTTATGTTTTCAAAAAAGCTTCCCTAAATTATTAAATTGCTTCCGTCTTTATGTTCAAAGATTTTACTGTGTTGAGATATTGAGTTGTGGCTTGCCTAGTTCCACGATAGACGCCATCACGACGGTTAGATTTTGGGTCGTGGCAAGCTGGTATCAGAGCCTAGGTTACATAGGTCTCACGAGTCATGAGCAAGTTTAGTAGAGTCTTGCGGATCAGTACGGAGACGTTTGTACTTATCTTCGAGAGGCTGCTGAACCCTTAGGAAAATTTCACTTTCTTGTACTCTATCGTGCGGAATTGATTCAGCTTGAAACATAACTCTTTGAATTCCTTCTACGCATTCGTGTGCGCATGTGAGCGCTCAATACCAGTTGTGCATCGCTGGCTTGTGATTCCACGAATGAGGTTCGAGATGAATATTCTGTGTTTTGGTGATTGGCCAGTTTGGAGGACTTGAGGCCAGGGTTAGACTGTAGCTTAATCTCGATAGTTTCGATTATGAAAACTTGTGGATTTGGACTCATGCGACCGGTAGTGTCCCTTTGAGTGGAAAATTGTGGCTCGATGAGAGGTCGAATGGCTATACGATGAGTATGATGACTGCGGGATGTGTTCAGATGGGTTAAATGTGACAAATAAAGTTTACTTGTGACTCAAGACCTTGCTATGGGGTATTTGATTTCTTTCTTGATTGACGTATAGTCTCGAGTTATGAGTGTATTGAAGGATTTTAACGTTGTTTAATTGTGGGACAAATTAAATTCCCATGTCTTGTTAATGAGTTTGGACTTAGGAAGATTAAGTACTTGCGTAGTAATTGTGGTTGCGAAAGGGTATAACAAGATGCCAATTTGAGGCTAAGCAGGGGGTTATCTCTTGCAGAGTAATCTATGTAGGTGTGTTCCTTATAATGTTGAGCGGGAGAGTTTCTATTCTACCAGCGTAGTATATGTGTCGAGATTTGAATTTGAATCTGGGTGAGGAAGCTGACTTGACTGTCAAGAGAATAAATGCGAGCTTAGCGGATGATTGAAGTACTTTATGGTTTGTATTACCTGAGCTCGTGAAGCATTCTCGTTGAATTGACTGCGGGATTATGACAATAGTAGAGTATGGGTATGGCGAGTTATCAGATGTTTTATTATATGGCTTTGAGCCAAGTGGGGGAGTTTGCTATCTACGATTTGACTGCACGATTATGTGATGTATTGGTTTTTGTCCGAGACATACTTGTGGATTAGTTATGACTTACAGAGATTGAGATTGAGGATAGACCCGACTGGTCGTTTGGAGCATTTGCACTTCGCTCGATAATTTGAGGGCATGAGTAGCTCCGTATGACTCGAAATTATTTTATCCCAACAAAACATGAGATAAACTCATCTCAAAATTAAACTCGAAATTATTTATCACTTATCTCTCGTACCAAACTAGCTTTTAAAGGGCTACTAGTGACTAAACTAAGAGCCCGTTTGGACATACGAAACTTTTTCTTTTTTTCAAAAAATTCACTTTTTCCCAAAATCAACATTTATTCATAAAAATTTTAATTTTCACTTGAATATGCATTTTGAAAATTTTCGAAAATTTTAAAAACTCCAAAAAATAATTTTTCAAAATTCACTCACAAAACTTAAAAAACAACCCAAAATTATATTCATGCTCAAACACAACTCTAATTTTCAAATACCATTTTCACTTAGAAAAACAATTTTCCCCCATTTTGGAATTTTACAATTCTTATGTCCAAACACCCGCTAAGTTTGAATAAAACTGCAAGCACTAGTAAATATTACATCTTTCCCTGCAACTTCCAAAAAACTTGTAGCAGATATTGGCACGCAGAATACAGAGATTAAGATCAAAGACAAACTCAAACTTTGCTTGAAAGTTGAAACCATCTAGACCAAAACTTCAAGTTTTTCTTGCCTTGCCAATTGGTTAGTACCCCGGTCAAATGCTTCAGTAACCAAAAAAAATGAGGAAAAAAGTGCATTAATCAATTTTGCTAAAATAACATGGTCCATCACACTTAACCTTCTAAAGACAGCAATAGTACAAATCTACTTCCAACCAACACAAACTTCTACCATTGCTATTTTCAAAAACCTAAAAGAGGATACTTTTGTTACATGAGTTTGTTAGCACAATCCATCAATCTACTAACGGGCAGCTAGTTAAATGGTTGAGTCGATCTCCTGCGCGCACGTTTCATTTACAACAACAGCACATATATACAAACTCTCTCATGTGTCCATTGAAGCAAATTATAATCATCCGCGCGTCAGGTCAATCTCAGGCTGGGAATTTCTTAGTTCAGGCCTTGAACTCGGCGGCCAAACACCAATTGCTGAATTTGAAGTTGGATCTTGATTCACGGTAGCATTAATCGGTGTAGATGGCTTTTCAGCAGACTCGTTCTCGCCTTTGGTACCGGTTTCTTGTTTGCTCTTTACTTTTGGACCATATACAAAGCTGCATACAACCACCTGTAAAAAAAAATTCAATTATTTGCTTGTCACATAGAACACAGAAACAGATACTTCTGATCTCCACGTCAAAGGTAGCGTGTCGGAGATTCGCATAATCCAAATATGTTATGAGCATGTTTTCACAAGAATCAACAATATACCTGTACAGGGCTGGCCGCAATGAGCCTACCACCAATGGCACCCCCGAGTACATGCCCATCAGGGCTGCTAACCGAGATACTTATACCACCCGTGCGATCACGTGGACCACCACTTTCAGAGACCAAGTATGAGCCAGACAAGCATAGTATCTCAAAACGACCCTGCACAACATGACGAACATTCAAATCTCAGTTTAATCAAAGAACAAGTTTCATTCCGCAGGGTCAAAAGACTCCCAAGGAAATGAGTAAATGACTTGCGTACTGGCAAAGGGTAACAAGAACAACAAACTTAAGATTTATAGGAAGACTCGACCATTATCCACCGAGTTTTGAACCGTGCACCAATGATCTTCGAGGATTTCTCGGTTATCAAAAATAAAACGTCCGATTTAATTTGAATCATTAGATTACTAAGGGTGGTCCACCAAAAGACAAACACCTGGCCCATAGGTTTTAAATTCTTTGAAGAATTTTAACACATCAGCTGATTTTCATCTCAAGTAGAAGAATTATGTATAAACAAAAGGTCTGCAGTAGAATTGTTAGTCCTTTCCGAACACTACATCGACATTATTTGGCAATATAAAGCATTATATTTGAAAAGAAATGTAAATTATAGCAGTCAGTGATAATAAACAATCTAAATACTCTTAAAAACAAGGTGTTATACTTGGTCAGAACTTTCCAATGTTGAATGGTTAATTGTTTCCACTTTCTATAGATATGTTTCTTTACTTAAAATATATCAACACTTCGTCACTCAATTGCTGAGTGATTCTAAAGTATCCTTACCGAACATGTACCGTGCCTCAAACAGTTAAAAGATCCCTGCGTGAAAAGGAAGGAGAAAAAGAAATATTGCTTCCTGCGACTAGGTTTGATATATAGTAATTGACTTACTGTGTGGTATATATGTCCATAATCCGGTAGCATCTATATCTAAAATAAGGTTTGTCATAGAATAGGTGATGTGGCACCTCTCTATGGCCAGCAAACACATTTATCTTTTTCTCACATTTTTTGAGAAAAAAGAACAGCAAAAATGTGAGGAAAAAGATAATGTGTTTGATGGCCATAGAGAGGTGCCACATCACCTACTCTAAGCCCAGTTTTATATTATACATAGATACTAACATACGGTAGACTTATATATNTTTTGTGGTTTCATCATTTTAGCATGTAGCCACCCAAAAATAAGTAATGAAGCAACTACAAAGGATATCAGAAGTAAGGTCTGTCATCTCCAGAAGCTTCTCTAGGGGAATGTCCCATAAGGGAAAAAAAGAGGCTAAGAGAAGAAGAGACGAAAAGGCTGGAAAAAAAAACAGGAGAAAACGAATGCAAAGTCACTTATCGGGATTCTTACCATTTTGTTACATTTAAGCAAATGGCGCTCTCTCTTGTTAAGTGTCTCAACCTGAGTTTGCTCTATGGATATTGTCAATATGCTTCGGTATACGATTAAAAGTGCTTTTTAACATCTTAGAAAATATGTTTGTAAAGTTAATTGTTATTTTACCTTTTTCAACTAATTGTTAATACAAAATACATTTTAAATGTAGATCAAGAGAACCTGATTATGGCACTTTAGCCAAGTTATAGAAAGCATGACCATAGGAATAAATTGTTACGGTATTAACAGAGAACATACACTGCTATGTCAATTATTAAGGATCTGAAATATATTTGTGCTTGACCCTTTATAATTTAGAGATCTTGTTTATAAGAGTTAACGACTATCCTGCCTAATTCGCATGATGTTTAAAGGAACAGAATACACATTTTCTTGTGTGTTTATACGTTAGAGTGGGTTGCTCTAGTGGTGAGCACCCTCCACTTCCAACCAAGAGTTTGTGAGTTCGAGTCACCCCAAGAGCAAGGTGGGGAGTTCTTGGAGGGAGGAGCCGAGGGTCTATTAGAAACAACCTCTCTACCCTAGGGTAGGGATAAGGTCTGCATACACACTACCCTACCTAGACCCCACTAGTAGGATTATACTGGGTTGTGGTTATACGTTAGAGTAGAGATCCTGATTTTAGGGAATTTTGTTGAGTATGTACAAGACGTAGTTGCCACTAAGTGGATCATTATCTAATTTTTCTAGATATCATGTCATTGGTGTTGCTTTATTTTCTGTTCATTCATACATGACTAAATGTTGATCTAGGCTTCCATGTTATGAAACACTATCCAATTGTATGGTTAGGAATGTATTATGAACTCGTCAAAATTATGAATATCTGAAATGACATTGCCATGTGAGTAAAACTCTCACTATTTTGTTAAGAAGTCTTTAGTTTGTTTAGATCATGTCCTAGGGGGGGTTTAATCAATGCTTGACAATATGAAATGCTCATTTTTTTATATAAGATTTGCCTGAACTGTTGCTATAATGTATTTCCATTGTCTCAAAACTCAATTATCCGGGCATTAATACAACAATTTCATTATGTATGAAGCAATACGTATGTGTTGATATATGGAAGTTCTTCATTTAGAAGGTCGTGTTTTAAGAAAGATTGTTTGCCATGCAAGTTCATGTATGTGATCGAAGGAAAGTAGTTGTATTAGAAATCATGATCTTAGAAGGTATGTCATGTTTCTATTTGGCTAAAACGTATCACATTAGTGCGATGCTAGTTTGACATGAACTATAAAAAATGTTATGGTAGAGTTCATTCTCTTAGTATTGTATGGGTCGAGGAAATTAGTAGGATGTTATCAACCCAGGATTTCGGGTTGAAATTCGAGGATGTTAACAAATCTGAGCACTTAAATCTATACAAGATGTTTGAAGGCAGCAGAACTTGTTTATCCCGGGAGCGGGATAAGGCCTATGCTACCCCTGGTGTGATGTTGGCATTGCATATAATGGGTCGTGAAGGAATATCAGGAGATACTCTAAGTTAGACGTCAAGATTGTGAAGTCCCTTAGAAGTCGTCGATCTCTAACCCCGGAGCATTAGAGTTGGCCAAAAAGGTTCTGCATTAGAGAAATCCAGGTTTATATAACACCTACATCAATCATGGCTCTTCGCCAGTGCAGAACACCATTCAGTCTTGCCTCCATTCTTAACACTATCCCTCCACCAACAGCACTCAGAAAAGGTGAGAGTTCAAGAAACTCTGATTCAGTGTCAAAGTTTGCGATATGCTATTTAGAATTAACAATTAACATATAAGGATAAAAATTCTAAGGTAAGAACTCCATGATTCTCAAAAATATGCAAAAGTTCTTCACTTGACATGGTGTACATGTTATTAAGATGTTACAGTTAAGCAGTTGCACAACAAATAATCTTTTCGTCATCAATAACCGCATCATGTTCGCCTTAATGGATTTTCTTAAGTAATCCCCATTACATAAACAACATTTCTAATAAAGATCTGCGAGCTAACTGTAGCACTACACAAACACCAATAAGTAATCTAGGGTATATTCTGCTTTTACAATCGAAGGGATGAAGATCAACAATTTGGCTGAAAGGAAGCTTTTGAAAGTCCCAATACCAAGTAAATTATAAATTAATAAAAAGCACTCTAACCTCATAAGTGACAGTAGAACCAGAACTTGCAGGAGGCCGTAATGTTACAGCAGAAACTGCACCATTAGCTGCTAAGACACATAAAGCCCTCGGCCTCTGTTCCGCAAACGCCAGTAATTTTGCCGCAACATCCTGCAGACATTAAGGTACTATCTTATCTCATTGCATATACGGAACAGGCAAAACGAGCAAGAACATTTTGCATCATACAAAAATAAAATAGGCTGCAAAACTTTTGGCTGATTATAATGTTAAGGGCACACATATGTTTTTAGCATACAAAGACATAAGCTGCTATCATATTCTCATATTTCTGCGTAAGAACTCTTCCTTTTAAGAAGTAGAAACTTTAACTCTTCCTTTTAGAAACTTTGTGGGTGTCTTCCCAACAACATCAAGTGTAAACAAGGAGCCATGAGCTTATGTGAAATTATACAGAGCACTTCAACTTTTCAATGCAGTGCTGACCATATGGTAACATACCACAAGAATTCTCAATCATTTATGCGCCTAATTTATTTTTTTTAATAACCGTGGTGTCCGAGCCAGCTTGCACGCACCTCGACTAATTCCACGGGTAGGCTAATTCGACAGGATACCTGCCATCTCCCACAAGCAACAGGTATCTGGTAACTCTATCCACTAAGGCTTGGATAGATGGGAAAAAATTACCTAGTGTTTTTTGACTCCGCTAGGCTGGGATTTGAACCTGAGACCTCACATGGATCTCACCCACTTCATTGACCACTAGACCACACCCTTGGATGCCATTTATGCACCTAATTTATGCTAGTATGATTTCAAATGTACAAATCAACAAAGTAAAATAGGTAAAACTACTTTAACAAATGAGGGATGACATTACCTCTCCCACATTGATGTGTAAAACATGAGGGGTGAAAGCCAATCCAGCTGAATTATTCATCCATTCACCTGCAGCAAGCAATTTCTCTTCAGAACCACAATTTAATTAATGGGACATTTTCCGAATTACTAGAACCACAATTGGAAAAATTAATCGGCCAAGTTCAGGAATTAGCAATACTAAGTGAGCAGCGTTGCCGCCACCAGTCCTAACAGAAAAGATAATCATAATAAAAGAAAAACATAAGATATACAAATGATGTTGGTTTGTTCAAATAGCATTAAGACCTTATAAGTGGCGGAAAACATCATTTCAGGTATCTCCATACCAAGAAATACAAGCAAAGCAATTTGCTTCTCCAGGACACATAATAATAATAGGGGCGTCAAACTGAGTTTGAATTCCTCATAAGATTATGTTCTCCTTTTTAAATGTAAACAAGTTTCAGGCTGTAAGCCCTGGTTATCAGTGGCAAAAGCACCATATAGTACAGATTAGACACAATAACTCAAACCCCTAAACTCATACTCCCTCCGTTCCAATTTATGCGACACTCTTTTCATTGTAGTCAATCCCAAAACGAATGACACTTTTTCTGTATTTAGTAACAATTTCACTTTAAATGATTTATAACCACACAAATATCCATGACTCATTTTAAACTACAAGTTTCAAAGTTTTTTCTTTCTTTCTTAAACTCTATGCCCAGTCAAACACCGTCACATAAATTGGGACGGAGGGAGTAACAATTAGGTGATAATGAAGCACAACAATAACAATAAACTCAGTGTAATCCCAAAAGTGGGTCTGGGTAGAGTAGTATGTATGCAGTCTTACCCCTACCGCATGAAGGTAGAGAGGTTGTTTCCGATAGACCCTTGGCTAAGGTGAGGCATAGTCACATCACTAGTTGCTAGAAGATAATGAAGCACATAAATACAAAATATGAAAATATATCATCTCATTCCCAATGTAATGCAAATGTTATACATCATCTATACAACACTCTTTTGACAAGTACAAAATAGAACTCAAACAAACTCCTAACTCATCAATTCACACAACATTAATAGAATGTCAACCCATTAAGTTCAACCAACTTAGAACTTACCAAGTGGAGCTAATTGTTGCTTCCATCCACTTCCAGGAGGTCGGCCCTTGGCTCGCTTCGGCCCCGGAGTAATAGAGCCAGTTGAAGGACTAGATGACAAGGGTGATAGTCCTAATGACATTTTTGCCCCTCCATCAGGACCATATTTTCTTGGCCTACCTCTCTTCTTTTTTACTGGATCACTAGGTGAAACACTAGAGGCTACTACACTCATATTAATACCATGAGGAGCAAAATTATTAGGTGGTGGATTCTCAACTACTTGGTATGTATTAGAACTACTCAAAGTATTACCACCTCCTCCTACATTGGAGTGAACTACATTGTAACCAGGTGGTACAGGTACTACCCCTGTGGGTCCCGCAGACCCTGAATTAGACCCACTAATCCCTCTATTGAGATAATAACCACCACCCCCAGATAACACCATCCCTTCCCTTCCATCCATGCATTTACTCACTAAAATTTTCACAACTAAAAAAACTAATTCTTTTTTGCTTCTTTCTATATTCAAAAAAATTGAAACTTGAACATAAATTAGACAAAATTACTAACACTGCAACTCAAAATTCAACCAAAATAAAGATCTTAAAAACAATATAACTTTACACACTAAAATTTTCTTAACTAAAAACTGCTTCTTTTTGCTTCTATATAATACAAAAAGATTGAAACTTTTAACATAAATTAGCAAAAAAACTGACAAGGGCTTAAATGGGGTTTTTCAGAAATGAACTATAAAGCTAAAAACAAGAAAAATAAAGGGAAATGTTGGACTCTCCAGTAAAGAAAGAACAGTTGAGAAATGCTAAAGATTGAATCTTGAACTAAAAGAACTAAAAAGGATCACATATTAAAGCTCAAACTGAAAAATGTCTAAAATCTAAAACTCTAAAAGACAACTTAAGTTGTAGTTTTTAGTGAAAAAAAGCTAAACACTGAATCTTGAACCAAAAGAACTAGAAAAAATCACACATTAAAGCTCAAGACTGAAATATGACTAAAATCTAAAACTCTATAAGACAACCCCACGTTGTAATTTTGAGCGAAAAAAGTTGACAAACAGCTCTTTAGCAAAACAAAGATGAAAAAGAAAAAGAAAAATGAAACCCTAGATTCGAAGTGAGAGAGAGGAAAGAGAAGAGGGAGGGTAAAGACAAAAGTGCAATGAAATAGAAAAATTTGAGCTTTTCTTGATTTTGAATTAAAGTAAAGGAGTAGAGTCAGTAGATACAGACACCTTTCTTTTTAGACTTAGAAATAATAATATATTAATGGGGTTTTAGAGAGGGTTTCAAACAGAAGTCAGTGGAGGAGTAAGTTTGTTTCTGACTTAAGGGGTTGGCTTTAGAGGTCATTGGTAGACAGTTGGCTAAGTTGGGTGCACCTAACTAAGTATTAATATGTCTGTGTCACATTGATAATACGGAAAAGGGCCAAATATGTTTCTAACGTATTGAAAATGACTCAATTTTGTTCTCCTTTCACCTATTGGATCATAAATGTCCTTAACATTAGTTTTTGGGCTCAAACTTATCTCTATATGTAACAGAAGGGCCAACAATACCCTTAACGTATTGAAAATGACTCAGAAATACCCCTTATTAACCTTTTGGTCCGCAAATACCCCTAACGTTTGTTTTGGGGCTCAAATTTACCCATATATATAACAGAACTAACCTAGTCAATTTCTTGACTTTAATTTCGCCATGTGGCATTTTCTTAATCCGCCACGTGTATTATTTATATTAAATAAACCTACCTGTATCTTTTAAAATATCCAACGACACTGGCCCGATCCTATATATTTGGACGATTGGCTAAAAATAATTACATTCGCTAGTTAANTTTCAATGGGAACTAATAGTGTTTTAATATATAACGATAGAGTTAAAATATTAGCAAAAACTGTTGTTCCATTGTCAGATTTGCTTAATAAATTCGAGTTATAGATCATAATTAATAGGAAAAACTACGCCGTATAATTTCTCCTAAAAATAATATCATATAAAATATATATTAAAATATTAATATATAATATATATATTTTTATATATAATCAATGTATATTTTTTTATATATTTAACTAGCGAATGTAATTATTTTTAGTCGACCGTCCAAATATATAGGAGCGGGTCGTTGGATATTTTAAAACATACAAATGAATTTATTTAATACAAATAATATACGTGGCGGATTAATAAAATGCCACATAGCGAAGTTAATGTCAAAAAATTGACCAGGTTGTTATGTTATATATAGGGGTAAGTTTGAGCCTAAAAACAAACGTTAAGGTCATTTGCGGACCAAAAGGTTAACGGAAGATATTTCTAAGCCATTTTCAATACGTTAGGGGTATTGTTGGCCCTTCTGTTAGATATAGGGGTAAGTTTGAGACCAAAAACTAACGTTAAGGGTATTTATGGCCCAATAGGTGGAATGGGGGCAAAATTGAGCCATTTTTAATACATTATGGGCATTTTTTACCCTTTTCCGTTGCTAATATTAGTACTTCAAATTTCTGGCAAGAAGAGGAGAGAGAAGGTAAAGAAAGATCTTTTGTGTGATAGTGCAACTCAAATGGTTCTTCATACAAACAATTTAATTAAAAATAGCTTATAAAGGTCTGAAAATAAATTTTTATTTGTCATTTTCCGTATATCACGAGAAAAATAATTTATTTATCATGTTTTGGCCCTAGAATTAATTACTCATTCCAAATTATTTTTCAAATCCATTAAAATTATACACCAATTAATATGTGTATCATGGTAAATTATGCATTTTATTTATTATTTTTTGAGAGTCATGCAAAACCCAAGTAATAATGAACTGAGGGAGTATATAACTTGCATATTATTATTATTATTATTATTATTATTATTATTATTATTATTATTATTATTATATATATATATATATATATATAAAAAAAAAACTGAGGGACCTGGGGAGGCGAAACCGGCACCTGGTGCCTCACTTAACCGAGGGACTCTAAACATACAATGTCATACTTTGGCCATAGGCCCACATTGCTAGACAATTTGTGAAAAAAATATAAAACTGAACGGAGAGTAGCTCTAACTGAACATCAATATAAAGTTCGGTCGACAAAATCGTCATAACTACTACAACTGACAAACCAAAAAATATATACATACAAGGCCTATAAGCCCAACATACTGCACTAACTGACAGGATATGTCTACAAGCCTCTATTGATGAATGTATTGTGGTCGGAATAAGGCCCCGACCTACCCATGATATATATATACACACACACATATATACACAATATGTACTCAAAACCCTAGACCCGGTAACTCCGAAGGAAGTGGAGCTTACCGATCAAACTGAACTCGGACAACACCTATTGAGGAGGTCTTCCCGTCTCTCTATCTGAACCTGCATGCATGAAATGCAGCGTCCCAGAAAAAGGACGCCAATACGAAATAATGTACCGAGTATGTAAGGCAATAGAATAACTGAAAGTAAATGAAAGTCAAAGATAATCTAGGGATATACTTACCTGTTGATACTTACCCAACTCTCTCAATATATTAAGTAAAAAAGTTGCCAGGACCCATAAGGCTCGGTACGTGTAACTGCTTGGTTGTAGTAGGCTCTCTCATAGACGCTCAACCATATAAGATCAGTCTTGACCATTCTGGGCTCGCTCATAGGCGTTCGGCCACAATTGACTCGGTATATAACTTACCATCTGATATCAGAGGTNTATATATAAGAAGACAATACTTAACTGAATATAAAGTGTCGATAAGGGCGAATACCGTGACTTATGAGACTAGGATAATGTATATAAATTTAGGAGTACGAATGTCACGACCCCAAATTCCCTCTGTATGATGTCGTGATAGCACCTAATCTCTAAGACTAGGCAAGCCTATCAATGTGAAATAATAATAGAAATCTGAAATAAATAAATCTGCAAATTCATATAATTACAACTCCCAAAACCCGATGGAATTAGTCACAAACTTCTAAGAATTTATCCTCAGTATCTTTATATATCAGAGTCTAAAGAAAATAAGGAAGCGACGTAATAAGGATAGAAGGGGACTCTGTAGTCTGCGGACATTGGCAGATATACCTCAAAGTCTTCGTACATAGGTAGCTCACTGATATCTGGGATGGTAGAAAGTACCTGGATCTACACAAAAATATATGCAGAAGTATAGTATAGTGTCAAGCCTAACCTAGGTAGAGTAGTGACGAGGTTAGGTCAGGCCCTACTGGAAATAATAAAAGACATGGTGAAATATTTAACAATATAATAACAATAAAATGACAATGAAAATGAATCAAGTAAGTAGTATGTCACTTTTAATGACACAAACTAAAGGCAAATAACATCTTTGTAACGACTCGGCGGTCGTTTTGAGTGTATTAGCCTCGATCCCCTATTTATTGTGTTCCCATGTACCTTTTTCTGCTTATGTGGCTTGCCGGGAGTTTTTTTTTTTTTTTTCTGTTTCGAAATATTTTGGGACACTTAGTCCCTAAAATGGGAGCTTAAGTCTTAGGATTTTGACCGTAGTCGGAACTGTGTGAAGACGACTCCAGAATGGTGTTTCGTCAGTTCCGTTGGATGATTTTGGACTTAGGAGCATGTCTGGATTATATTTTGGAGGTCCTGTAGCTTATTTAGGTTTGAAATGGCGAAAGTCGAAATTTTAGAGATTTGGACAGGTAGTGAAAATTTTGATATCGGGGTCGTATTCTGATTCCGAGAGTTGGAGTAGCTCCGTAATGTTGATTATGACTTGTGTGCAAAATTTGAGGTCAATCGGACATAATTTGCTAGGTTTCAGGGTCGTTTATAGAATTCAGAAATTTCAAAGTTCTTTAGGCTTGAATTCGGGTGTAATCGGTGGTTTTGATGGTATATATGAGGTGGTTTGAGGATTCGACTAAGTTTGTATCGGGTTATAGGACTTATTGGTATGTTTGGTTGAGGTCCCGAGGGCCTCTAGGTGATTTCGGGTGGCTAGCGGCTTGATTGGAGTTAGGAATTGCAACTGAAGTGATGCTGCTACTAGTGTAACCGCACCTGCGGAGTGGGAACCGCAGGTGCGAGCCCGCAGAAGCGAAGGAGGAGTCGCATATGCGGCCAAGAAGGAGCTGGGCAGGAACCGCATGTGTGAAGAATTTCCCACACCTGCAAGTGTCGCAGATGCGGGCAGTTGGGCGCAGATGCGGAGCTTGGGATTCTAAGTGGAATCCGCACCTGCGATGGTATTTCCGCAGGTGCAGCATCGCAGATGCGACAGAGAGTCCGCAAGTGCGAGATTTCTAGACATAACACTTAAATGCAATGGTTCGCGATTTTTGCTCATTTTCAATATTTTGAGCTCGAGTTTGGCGATTTCTTGAGAGCGTTTTTGAGGGGTTTCTTGAGGTAAGTCCCCTGTGCTTATTTTTATTCAATAATATTGCTTCTTCATTTATTTTTTCACCTAGTTAGTGTGTATTTAAGGTGGAATTTGGGAGTTTGAGACTAGGGATTTGGAAAGTTTAATTTGTGGATTTGAAGGACCATTTGGTGTCAGATTTTAGTAAATTTGATATGGTTAGACTCGTGGGTGAATGAGTGTTCATATTTTGTGACTTTTACCCAATTTCGATACATGGGCCCGAGTCGACTTTTTAGGGCGAATTTCGGAATTTTTGTTAAAATATTGGTTTCATTAATTAGATGAGTCTATTATGGTTGTATTCATGATATGCAATTGTGTTTGGCTAGATTTGGGCCATTCGGAGTCAGATAATTGAGGAAAAGGCATTATTATGGATTGATTGAGCTTGACTCGAGGTAAGTGGCTTGCCTAACTTTGGGGGGGAGGGGCCTTAGGATTTGGAACTATTGTGATATATGAGCGTCGTGTACGTGAGGTGACGAGTACGTACACGGGCTAGTTGTTGTAAAACCCGATTTTTGCTGAGCAACAACCTATTTTCCTTTTATTTTGAGTTATACCATTTTAATGAGTATTAATATGTTTTCATTCTTAATTGAGTTATTCCAATATGTGTAGATATCCTGTTTAGTCTAATATCATTTGGTCAATATACACGAATATATCATTGTTTTCACCATTTAATTAGTGTTTTGAGATTGAAATTTGGGAAATTTTAGAAATCTCATAGAAACGAATTTTTGAGATTTCGGTATCGATCCGGAGTCGGATTTGAGTGAAACTGGTATGGTTGGACTCATAATTGAATGGATTGTTGGATTTTCTTAAGTTTCGCCGGATTTCGAGATGTGAGCCCCACGGGCAATTT